CGTTACCATACCACAAAGCTTCATTGTTGAGATATGCTGACCCTCAGTTTTTAGCACAAGAGGTACCTTGGACTAGAGTTTCTGATTTATACTTCTTGTTTGACTAGCTGGATTCTCTGCTTTCTTCCCCATTTCTTTTAAAATTTGCTTTCTGCTTCAAGCAGACTGTGGGAATTACAAAGCATATTTTGGACCTAAATTTTCTATTGAAATTCAGCAGTGACATTATGCTGTGGGAGAATTCCGGATTAGGGATTAATTTGCTTTCATTCAAAAAACCTGCCATCAGCTTTAAGAGAGTCAAGACTTGCTTCTAGAACCACTCAGTGTTTTGGATTGGAAGGGACCTTTCAAGGTTATCTAGTTTAACCCCCCCCCAAAAACGAGCAGGGACATCTTCAACTATATCATGTTGCTTCAAGTCCCATCCAGCCTGTTCTAAAATGTTTCCAGGGGTGGGGCATCTATTCAACCTGGGATGGTGTTTCAACAGCCTTCTTATAAAAACCAGTCTTCCTTATATCTTGTCTAAATCCAACCAATTTAAATTGAAAGTCATTCCCCCTTTTCCTGTTGCAGCAGGTCCCACTAAAAGGTGTGTTCCTATCTTTCTTATAGGTCCCTTTAAGTACTGGAAGGCTTCAGTAAGGTCTCCCTGGAGCTTTGTCTCCCTCAGGCTGAACAAACCCAACTCTCTCAGCCTTTCTTTGTGGGAAGAGGTGATCTGATCATTTCTGTGACCCTCCTCTGGACCAGCTCCAACAAATCCATGTCTTTCCTGTTCCAAGGATTCCAGGACTGGATGTAGTTCTCCAGCTGGAGTCTCAGCAGAACAATGTGGAACTACTGTGGTGATGTGCCCTGTAGATTTTTTCAGAGGGTGCACAGCCTTCTGAAAGACAGCATTACAATTTGAGAGGTCCTACCTCCTAACTGAGAGGAGTTGGGTTTGGGAAGCAGGAAAAAATGAGGATTTCAGTAATTTTTTATCCTTCTTTGTCTCTATTTCAATCTTGAAGCCCAACTTCACTATAAATTTCCAGTTCTGTCTGACTTTTCGGGAAGTTCTGTCTGGAAGCCTGTAAGCCAGCATCAGAGGTCTGGGTTTATGTGTCTGCTAATGCAGGGTGATCATAGTGCTGAGCATGAAGCAGTGATACAATTGTGCATCAGGAGAAAGAGTTGGGGGAAGAATACTTGCCATTTATCAATGTGCTGTCTCATTTAAAGCAGCTAGAACTGCTGGCTGGTCTGCTAACTTAAAAGGGATAGGGACAGTGATTTATTGGGTAATGAACTAAACCACCTGTAGTTTTATGTGAATCAATATGCTAATAGCATCATTTTGGAGATAGAATTTGCCATGGTTTGAGTTCTGAATTTGAACCTTGTGTAGCGTCATTGGGTTGCTCTCCATTTCTGTTAAGATAATTTCAGACTAGCTGGCACAATTCTAAACATAAGTAAGAAGGTCTAGAGGATATATTCGTGCCTCGGAAAGGTGGAGATAGATGGTGTTGCTGCTACCTACTTTTCATCATGTTTTCTTCATTACTACAGAACTCAGGTTAGCAGAACCTAATCTATCTTGAGTTTGTAAAATCTGTAATGATATGTGTTGCTTTGAAACAGTGAAAAATACTTCTGTCTGAGATGGAAAGGATGATAAGTGCTTAGATATTACAGTATATATTTTCCTTTTAAGACATTGAAGTGTTGTGTAGGATCTTCTTGAGATTGCACTCTCATAAAAGAGATGTATTGATCTACAATGACACCCTTACAAATAGGAGCTATAAAATAATCAGAAAACATGATTTAGAGTGATTTGGGGGTGTTGGGAAGCATTTTAAAGATTCTAATCCTCCTAATACCTGCAGTTCCTTAAACAGTGTTTGATAGTAGCCATGTCCCTTTGCTGTCCATTCTCCTAACTTTTAAATGTAAAGAAAGAAATTCATAAAATTTGAACTTTCTTTCAAGTGTCTCTTAAACATGGATACAAGTTTGGAAGCTGGATTTACACAGAGAGAGGATTCTTGTTTTCTTATATGGATTTGAATCTTTTATGTGCTCCAGAACAAGCAAAACATACTCACACACACCCCTTAAAACCAAATAAGAAAAAATGTCCACACAGCTTGGGGGGGCTCTATATTTTCATTCCCACTTTCAACAGCACACAGGTTTAGGGACACAGATCTTTATTTCTAGTATCATTTTTCAAAGAGAATAAAGAAAGTGAGGCATAGATGGACTGATGGTATGAGTTTTAATTAAACTTAAGAAAGCAAAAAAATTTCCAAACTTAAAGCTGATTATTTGGCCTGACATTGTCCTTAACTGACTATATTAATCTTGTTGGATGGAGTTTCCACTGCACTCTGTATTTTTTTTGCTTTTGCATATTTTCACTCCAGCTTCTCATGTCACTGTAACATAGGGATTTTTTTTGTGGCTTAATTCTATGAAAAAATTTGGTGCTGTATTCTTGGAGCTTTACCGATGGTTCCATGCCAAACATATTTGTTTACCATGGTAATGTCTGAGTTGTAGTGTGCCAGCTAATAAAGGGATTATTTCAAGAAAAAGGTGCATGACTAAAACAGATGTGCCAATTGGGTGAACCATTAAAAGAATCTTACTTCTCAGCTTTATGTTAAGGTTACTTTTAATGCATTTCTGAGAAATCAAGAGTGCTTGCAAAGATGTTTTGGGGCAGCTGAAAGCCACTTGTCTGTTTGCTTGGGGGTCTTTTCCTGTGGGCTTGAAAGATATTGGTCTTTCATCTGCCTTATGAAGAATTTTGTTAATTATGAATTAACAAAAACAGCAGGTAGAAGTCCTGAGTTTCAACATTTGATCAAGTATTATAATCTCATGATGAATTTGGATCTGTTTTAAATGTCATGAGCTTGTCATTTAGTTGTGGGGAAACATGTTTTAATATTTATGGGATGTAAACGTGAATTGCTGTAATGCAGTATATGTATGTATCTATGTTCCATATAAATCCTGGAGGTTAACCTGCTGTAATAATAAGTCCAGGTCAACCTGCTGTAGTAATACTAAAACATTTCGCATATTTTCTTACACAAATATTAGGTACTCTGACTTTACTAGAAGATGAAGCACTCTGGCTGCTAAGCATTTTAACCAGGATTGGTGTAAAAGTGTTTGAGAGAAGCTAAAATAATGGATTAAATGCTGTTTACCCAGGCATTTAGTCTGTTGTACATCACATTGTCCAAGTGACTTCCAGAAACTCCATTGATTCTGCTCTTGATAGATGTGACTGGAATGTCTGCTCTTAGAAACTGACTTTTGTGAATTAGATATTTGTAATCGTATTTCTTAGGTGTTGATCAGTTCATCTCTGGAGACAGAATTCCAAAGAAACTACAATCAAGAAAACAAATTAATACTATTTTTAAATGCAGCTTTAAGTTGCTGGGTATACAAGATATTTCCACTGAATTTCCTTTAATTTTGGAGTTAACTTTTTAATAGACAAGTAAGGGCTACCTTGAAAACTAATTGCTCAATTTTTAAAAATCTGATGCTTGAGTATACAATTTGTTTTGAATTAAAGAAATGAGGGATTACTTAAGGCACTTAACCACATACCGTATGGGACTTTCAATAACAGTACATTTTAGGTACCATGAAGCTCTGCTGAAAAAGATGAACCTGTAGTGTTTCTGTTTGTATGTATCTGTTGCTGTTTGTTGCCTCTTTCAGTATATTTTTCTTAAGAATTTTTAAGTCATGGGCTTTTTTTTTGTGTTCATGACAACAGGCAGAATAAAACCTATGTTCTCTCATTTTTTACTTTATGACTGAATAGTCCAAATAGTATTATCTTGAGCACTCATCCTAGTGGTAGTACTGGTTTAGGAATAGATGTTTGCATATGTGAAGCTTCTCTGGTGTTAATAAAGGCAGAATTTGTTCCTTCATTAAAAATAACTGAATTAGTGGCTTTCTCATTTTAGGTTAGTTGTGGCTTTGTTTAATCCTAGCACTGAAAAAATTCCAGAGGCGGCACAGAAGTCAGCTTTAGCATTTTCAGTGTGTTCCCAACCAGAAATGTATCAAAAGCTGTCTGCTTTGTGGATGATGATTGTAATCTGATCTAAGCTTAAGTAAAAGTGAAGAATTTGCCCTGGTTGAACATAACAAATAAGGGTTTCAAGGGGCTTTTTTTTGAGATGATCAGTCTCATAGCAGTATGTTTTTTAATATATTGTAGAGCCATTGCAGGACAATTAGATCACCTTTCTTGGGATTTCAGGGCTCTATTAATCATCTTTATTTAAAACCAAAGAAAAGTCTTCTTTGAATTGAAGGTTTCTTGATTATCTAGCATTTGCGCAGCATGTTGAAGCACTTAAAATAACATTCTGACAACACAGTATTCGGGTGAGGAGTGTCATAACTCTTGTTTGTGCACCAGTTCAGTAAGCACATGGCATTTCTTTCAGTTTTGTTTATGAGATACCTGCCCCATTGAGATGTGGATGGCTGTATTTATTTGACAGAAAGAAAAATTGGCATGTTTTATTTTTAAATACCTAGAGGTTCATAACACCCATCCTTGTCAGTTTTGTCAATAATTAGGCAATTGGATTCCATAAAGCTAGCTCCTGCAAAACTGTCTTGTTTAGAAGTTACTTCAGTTTGTCATATTCCAGTATGGATTTCAACCCTAACTTTGTTCAGGATTAGGAGCTTCTTGACAGACTTAAGATTTAAAATGTTTAGCTGACCTAACCAACCTTAACATTGAACTGGCTGAAAATTGCATTTTACATAGTTTCCAAATGTTGGCTTCATTCTTGAAGGACCATGACTTCAATGCAAGGAAATGCAATTTGACTGGATGTAAATGCAAAGAGGTTTATTCTCTCCTTTGCTGGAGATACACTGAATTTTTTTATTTAATACATATGATCCTGTGCTTGTTTAATCATTTGTTTTCTTTCCTTCCACCACTCTAGGCCATATACACCTATGAAAGGAGCCTTTTCCAATGTGTGGTTTGACAGGTATAAGATCTGTAATGACTGTCCTGAACACATTGAAAGCATTGATTCCATGTGCTGGGGCCTTACAGACCTGATCAACGATGAGGTTAAGACTGGTATTGCCAAGAACAGGATACTCATAGGTAAGAGAGTTATTTATAATGTGTTTATTCCAATGTGTTTTTAATGGTTGATGGTTTTTAATGGTTAATCTTCTTTGAATTTGCTCTATCCTGAAGGGTCATGAGCATGGCTTGAAACTGCTGAACAGCCTTTTCAGTAGCCTATCTTCAGCAATATTGAATCCTTATTTAAACCCATATCAGGTGGGAAATGTGGCTAACTGTAAGCAGTATCCTCAAAATGTAAAACTGTTTTTATTTTCAACAATTTATTTTCAACAATTATTTAAATAATTTGTAATCATTATTTAAAATAGAGTGGGCAGTGTTTTACTTTGAGAAGTACATAGTTTTACTATTTCCTTTAAGCCCTTTTCAAGGATGGAAAAGTTCATTTTCCAAAAATGACGTGCATTTTGGAGAATGGAGATGTAGCATATAATCATGAACTTTTCCTTACTGCTCTAATCATTTTGGGTTAAATTAATTCATGCAGGAAAAATGTGCATGTTACATAGCACTAAAGGTTGACACTTGATAACAAATGAAGTATTAGCTGTAATAGTTCATATGTCTCTATTTCTCTTTCCACAAATTTCCAGTAGCTTTCACAGTACTTCAGTGAAATAGATGGTGAGATATTGAGGCACAGGAGTTGAGGGTGATGGAATAGCCTATGGCAGAGAGGGAATGAGAATTCACAAGTCTGTGGCTCCTTGTTCAATCTCTAGATAATCACAAACTATTTTAGGTTGGGGAAAAAACTCTTAAAGTGGGATCTTATAAATGTATGTCCAGCTAAGTCATGCCATCAAAATCTTGTGTGGCGAAGCCACTACCATTCAGCCTGGTGTGTTTTCCTGGTCTAACCCCATGTTGCTCTGTGAAGGCCTGCGCTTCATTCCCTTTCTGGCTCACTGCACTGGCTGCAGAGTGAGTGCATTGTTTTGGATGGCTGTCAACAGAGTCCCTTTGATCTCTCTTTCCTGTGTTGTAATATCTGCTGGTTTGGAAGGAGCTGGAGAAGTGCAGGTGCTTTGCTGTTGAGTGAGCTGAGAGATGCTCTGTGTACAGATCCAGTGTGCTACTAGGCTGTTTTCCTTTCCTCTGTAGCCTTCAAAATTAGAAATAGCCAGACTGCAAAATATGAAGGTTGTTTTCCAGGTCATAAGCAGAGTAAGGAAGTTGGCATGCACTGAGTGTTTCATCCTATAGATTCTTTGGAAGTCCCCGTCTCTGTGTGTTTGCATTCCTCACATATAAATCAGAAATAACTGTACTTGTTTTGTCACTCGAGAGCTCTGTTTCCCCACCTGACAGAGACTACAAGCCTACATCCTCGTGGTTTAGTCCAATATTTATGCAAGAAGCAAAATAAGGCAGCCCTGAGTTACTTCGTCCAAAGTACAGAAGGGGATTCATGCAAATGCGTAAGGAACTTGGTAGTGGAAAGTTGTATCACTTGTGGCTGTACAAGATTAAGTGTTCTTCCACAAGAACTTTTTGTCTTTTCTGTGCTGTTTTTGATGATCAACCAGTGTGTGATGCAGTGAAAAATGAAACCTAGAGATCCTCTAAGATCTCTATGCATAAAGGTGACATTAATTGTCCTAGGACTTTGTGCAAATAATTGCCCATCTTCTGGCATTCTTTCTTACAGGAAATTAGGAATTTTGTAAAGGTACTCTGCAGATTTATAGTGTTCAGCCTGGAGAGCAGAAGGCTCTGGGGAGATCTTGCAGCACTTTCCAATACCTAAAGGGTACCACATGAAAGCTGGGGAGGGACTTTTTACAAGCCATGTAATGATAGGACAAGGTGGAATTGCTTTACACTGAAAGAGAATAGGTTTAGATTAGATATTAAAAAGAAATTTGTTACTTTGACGGTGGTGACACACTGGAACAGATTGCCCACAGAAGCTGGGGATGTCCATTCCTGGAAGTGTTGAAGGTCAGGTTGGATGGGGCTCTGAGGAACCTGGTCTAATGGAAGGACTTCCTGCCCATGGCAGGGGGTTGGAACCAAAAATGATCCTTGGTTCCCAAACCATTCTGTGATTTTTTGATCAAAAGAAAATACGAGGTCAAGTCAGTATATCTGCACCATAGTGTTAATGTCCGCTCAAAAAGAAGTGTGTGGCCTGAAATTTTTCTGAGTTTAGAAGGCTGGTGTACAGGAGATAATGGAAGGTTTGGTTACTTGCTTAGAATGTCAGATAACTAAGTTCTGTCCGATCTTTTTAGATTTCTCTTGGAAAATGTCAGGAATGTCCATCTGATACAATAAGATGAGGCCTAAGGTAACAGGTGGTGTGCAGACAGTGGATTTGTCACCGCTGGTACCATGAAGCTGGAGGAGGCAGCCTTTGTAAGGCAAAGGGAAAAAGTAAGACATTTATAGCAGGGGAAGCCAGGGTGAAATGTTGCTATGAATTCATAGAGCATTCAGTGCTATTGAATCTTGTTGGAGATCCATAATGATATATATGTTATTATGGTAAACAGAGTCAAAATATTAGAGAGAAGCAACTGGAGAACTTGGGAGTCTGTGAAGAACAGTGGGGGCCTTTTTGGGGAGGGTCACAAAAACCAAAGAGCAGAGCAGTTGTATGAAGGTATTTATAGGGAATGAAATGCTCCTTAAAGGGTTGAGGAGAATTGGGTTGAGTGACCATTTTGTAGTAAGTGGGAGTTTTAATGACTGGAAAGAAAACAAAATGAGTATGAGGAGTGTAACACAATTGAAGGTTATGGTTTTATATGGAATAGAGGACTAGAAATTACAGGCTGAGGGTGAGTGTCAGATGTTGTTGGATGAGGGTGAGTGAGGTGTTAGGCAAGCAAGAAGGTGGGCAGCTGCTGGCAGTTTAGAGTTGTGGCATAAGAAGGCAAGATCTGAGAGAGCACTGTGCAAAGGTGAGTGAGTGGGAAGAGATGGGGAACAGCAGTGGGCTCCCAAACATGGAAAATGAGAAGCCCAGCACCTGGTGTTGTGGGGAATGATTCCCCTTCTTGAGCCATTCAGACATTCTACAAAGCTCAAGATAGTGGGACAGTAAGAGCATTTTCTCTGAAAGAAATTGTAGCTTGCATTGTTTGCTTCGATATCTCTGAAATTCACAAGTGACTGCTTGCAGATCACAACTCTAAAGCTGAGGATGGAGTCAAGGTTGTACAGTGCTACTCCTCTCTTCCTTATCAAGGAAAATGCTGGTGCAGCCTTGCTTTTAACAGCTGCTCTATGAATCTACTTCTAAAGAAATAAATTACTTAGTTTGCTGGATCTAAAGGAAGTCTTATTTTTAAAACATCCATATTCATTTTGTGGCATGGTTTATCTACTCATTCTTACCTCCTAACAGTTTCATGAGTTGCTTTCCTTTTAACACAAGTCTTTTGAAGGAAGTAGACTTCTGATTAAGCTTTATTTCCCTTGACCTTGGAGGAGGAAGGAAGGGAGACTAGAAGCAATACATAATTATTCAAAAAAATAATTATATCATCCCCAGAATTTGATAATGGTACTTAGGTTTTAGCCAGACATTCTTGTTGAGTTACTCTTACTGGTCTTCCTGGCTCAAGCACTCCTTGTAAATAGTCCTGTAAGTAGGTTTGTATTTACTTTGGAGATAAAAGAGTGTTATAAATTTAGTCAAATTTTGACACTTTGAGCTTTGATAATAGCCTTTCTTTAAAAACAGGATGTATTTATTCTTTATAAATGCCTGAATTCTTTGCTAAATTGGCCAAACAAGCCACAGTTTAAAATGTGGGACAATAATTTCTTTTTCTATCTAAAGCTAAGTTGGTTTTTCAGGTGGTGGTTTTGGTTTTTGTTTTCTTGTGCTGGTTGTTCTGTTGTTTTGGGTTTTTTTAACTGCTTCCATAGTGACAGTGCCCTGTAAAACAAGTCCACTTCAGTGAAAACTGTTTAAGATTTCAACAATCTTATTCAAGAATGTGTTAGAAACTCTTGAAAGAAATGGCCCTCTCATTTTTTTAGCATTTCGATAGGGCTTACTGTAGTCAACTACACTTTGGTGAAAGGCAGTCTTTTTGTTCTTTTTTCGTTCTTAATTTAACACTGCTTTCCTACTTTCACAGGTCACTTTTTGTGTAGTGCAGAAGTGCTGATTCAAGCGCGTTGGTCTCTGCCACCTGTAGTCACTCGTGTAAGCAGCCAGTGAAAATAAACTTTCCATAACAGTCCTGTAGATTTGACTAAATGCCAGAAAACACATGCATGATTCCTGACCCCTTGTGCTGTAACAATAACACAAGACACACAACCACTTTTTGTTTATTGCTAGATTTCTTACATAGCTACTGAACCACGGTGGAAGTAACATGAAAGCTCTGTGCTTTTTGTAAATATTAGCATTTCCTTCTCTCTCAGGGCGTGTGAGAATGGGATGCGGGGGAAATATCTTGGCTTTGACACCCCAGAGAGCGGATCCTATAAATACATGGAGATAAAAACTTCCAACAATAAATCGTTGAAATGTTGAGCCATCTATTTCACCCACAATCTGGCACTTTATGCTTTTGGCTTCTAAGCCTTTTGCTGTCACTCGTATCTACTGTCTTTATTAGGAGGACATTGTCTTCCATTCAGAGGTACTTACTGCCTTGTTACAGAGTAAATTTTTGGGTTTATTTTGCTGTTTGTCTCTGCAATTCAAATGAGATTTCTCTTTCTGCACCTCCCATTACATGGCTTTGTGGTTTATCTAAATTGTGCTTGAGATGCTGGACTGAAAGCAGTACTGTTGGTCCATCTGCCCCATAATACCTGCAACATTTTGTTAATTTTCAGTGCATCAATGTAAATTTGCCTTGCATTTATACTTTGAGGTAAATGTTTGCTCCTCTTGGTTTTGGGTTTGGTTTTTTTTTGTATCTGAACTGACCATGTGTCTCTTTTGGATCTCTACTACTCTAGCTCATACATCAGAAAGAAAAAAGAGACATTAACAAATTAATCTTTCTGTTTCCTTCATAAGTCTTTCGGTAGGAGGT